GAGAGAGAGAGAGAGAGAGAGAGAGAGAGAGAGAGAGAGAGAGAGAGAGAGAGAGAGAGAGAGAGAGAGAGAGAGAGCAGGCAAAGGGCCCCTTTCACATAAATCAGAGTGCCCCTGCAAGCAATCCGAGGGGTCCCTCCAGTAAGTCAGCAAGGTCCTATCACCAATCAGGGATGGGCGCTGAACGGGCCACGAATATATATTCTGGATTTGCATTCAGTTCTATGTTTTAGCAGATATGGGTTACTAACTTAGCTAGTCCCTGTTGGTCGCTACACGGCCTCGCTCGACTACTCACCGACTGTGCAAAACTAGAATGAATCTTCCGCTAGAACATGGAACCATACGCTGCCCTATGTTTTGTCCTTTCTGAGGCTTTGTCCATGTGGTGAGTAGTGGACCGAGGCCCTTAGAGCCATTTGCAAGGAATATGAGTGAGAACGATATACAGAAAGCCAAGTTGCAAAATCACACAGATGTCCAAGTAGTCGTGTACAAGCAGAGAGCACAAATGCACCGAGATTCCATCCAAATAAGAGCAATATACAATGAACTCGTGAGCCAATGTTCAAGCCCTCAGGCCACACCAACACAGTATCCAATGTCGCTCCTCTCTGTCTGGCGCCCAGCGCCCAGACTACACTACTTGCCTATCCTACTACATCCGCATTCCCACAACAGGCTGACTTCGACTTTGAAGACGAATGTACATGACGTCAACACCATAGCCGACCTCTCTCATGCACCAGGTACGTATCTCGTCTCCCCTCATCAGACCCTGACCACCCACACTCACGTCCTTCCTGAAGACCACCGATCGCTCGCTTACCCCCTAGTGCCCAGCAGCGCCCCTCTCACCTCACTTCGCGCAGCAACGCAGCAGCGTGATCGCATTGCCTGTGTGGGCCAGAATGCCTGACCCTGGCTCCCTCCTTCCCTATATGGAAGTGGCAGCCTCTGCTAGGCTGCGTGTGGCCCAGCTGGGAAGCTTCCAGTAGCTTTCGGTCAGGCCCCAGTGCCTGCCCCCAGGCCCAGCTGCGCAGTTGAGGGCCTGGGCCTTTTACAGTTGGGCACGGCCAATATTTCCAGACTTGGACCGTTTGCTGCATTTGCACAAGACCGGGGGTATGTATGCTGACAGTGCTGCTTTTTTTCGTAGGCCCATAGCCAATGCGTGATGTATCTGCCTTGCATTGCGTGTGTGTGTGCCCAGGCGCAACTACCAAGGCCTGGGCCCAACTGTACGATGCAGCACAGGGAGGCTCACGCTTCCTCTCAACCAACTGGCGTGCTGCAACTGCCTGAGTACCCACATATGGAAAAGTGTCAAATTTTGGCCTCTGGTGAATATTCAGGCCCGCCTTCACTCAGGGCGGGCACGGGGCTTGCTGATGGCCTTAGCCCAGAACATGTGCATGTCTGATGACAACCATCTCTGACTGGTGACGAGCCCTTGCAAGTTTTCTGCAAGGGTCCTTCGGAATGGAGATTGGAGTCAATTAAGACATGCACGCACAGTTTTCAGGCTCAGCATGGCCCCAGTTTTTTTCTCTCTTTTGCACTCTTAATTTTTAGAATGGAGGTGCATGTTTGGCCACCACACCCTGCCTGCGCTGCATCACATGCGCATGCAGCGCACGTGCACAACACGCGCAGACGAGATGCACTGCAAGTATAGAGTCTATAGACTCTTGAGATATGAGTGTTTCAACTTTGCTTCCATTTGGATTGAAACTCAGGTCTGTATTTCAACAGTTCATGGGTGTACCAACTGAGAAACACTCTTGTTTTTTTATTTGATCCATTTTTCCCGTGCAGGATTTGCTCATATCACTCCCACTAACAGAACGGCGCTGGGATTCGCTGCCGTCCCCCCCCCCGCCACCCCCAACCAAAAAACAAAAGACAAAAAAAGAGATCCATTTCTCAGTGTAGGAGTATCAGTGATGAGTGTGCCAAGTGTGGCAGCATGCCATAGGTGAACAGGAGCTTACTTTCTCCGGCGAGTATATTATCCCGCGCGCCTAGCCTGGTGAAAATGGCATCCACAGGTGAGAGAGTGCACCTTTCTGCAGACACATAGCACCCAATCTGCACACATGCATATTCACACCGACACACAAACGCACAAATGTAAGAATGGAGGTCATTTTTCTCTCTGCTTTCGCAGAGTGACTTTTTTTTTCCTCTGCTTTCATGTCCTTTCTTGCTTTTACTTCTTTTGACCGCTTCTACTTAGCTTGGAAATAGGAACACAGTGGGAGGGAAGGTGAAAGGGCGAAGAGGTACGATAGAGTGGAGAGGAGGGTGAAAGGGAGGAGTACGGTAGAGTGGAGGCAGAGGAGAAGCACACACACACACACACAC